TTGGGGGCAATATGCTGACTCTCTGTAAACCGCTTAGAGAGGCCTGAAAGGCCTATGAAGCGGTATATAAGTCTACTGCTATTGCTATTAAATAATAGAACGAATCCATTCTAATATTTATATTTTATTTTTTAGTTGAGGCAAGAGAGAAGGGAAACAATGATGCTTGTTAATCCAGGTGTAGTATTTTAGCTTTATTAACCAGAGCTGGAACAATAGAATAAGATCCTTTTTGTGTTATCTGGCTACAGTTAGTCCTCGACTTACAACAGTTCATTTAGTGATTATTTAAAGTTACAACAACACTGAAAAAAGTGACTTATGACCATTTTTCACAGTTACAACTTTTGTACCATCCCCATAATGGTACCATTTTCATCATATGATCAAAAGTCAGATGTTTGGCAACTGGCTCATACTTATGACCGTGGCAGCATCCCAAGGTCAAGTGATCTCGTTTTGCGACCTTCTGACAAGCAAAGTCAACGGGCAAGCCAGATTAATTAACAATGAGGTTACTAATTTATCAACTGCAGTGATTCACTTAACAACTGTGGCAAGAAAAGTCATAAAATGGGCAAAGCCCACTTAACAAATGTTTCACTTAACAACATTTGGGGCTCAATTGTGGTCGTAAGTTGAGGACTACCTGTATTAATATGGAACCTTGGAGAGATTTAAAAATAGGATTTTGAAGAACAAGATCTATAGCTCTCTCACTTACTAGTTATTGAAGTGCCTGTTTAATCCCTCCTGTATGTTTATCCTTTAAATCTGACTATCTATAACATCAGACATGAAACTTGGGGGGCAAAAATCCTAGGGGTCTGGTGAGTGGTCCAATGTTGAACCCTCCTATTTTCCCACCCCATTCCAACAATCTCACAAAAGCAAAAGATTGGCTATCAGAAGATACAACATAACCTAAAACAAAGATATGCAAATGGTAACCAGGTTATTTGTAGGACCAATTGTCTCTCTCATTTGCGCATGTGAACAGGTCATACTTTAGGTCCCTTTGTGTCAGTGTCACCTGGCTGAATCAAAGAAACGTGTCTTTTTTTGTGCAGCACCTGCATCTTGGATTGATCCTCCACCCCACCCCCAAATCAAAGATTTGATTAATCTCAACCTGGCTAACTTTTCAAAAGACACTACAAATCTGTCGTCGTCCCGCGCTCCCACCGTGGACATT